GCCAACAATTAAAACTTTTATATAAAACTTTTAACTTTTAATCAAAATTATTACTGTAAATCGAAAAATGATGAATCAATATCATTAGTAATTAGCTAAAAGAACAGTCCTGTCAATACGAAACGATTCGTTACGCTACTGTTAACAACGTATAGAAAATGTTGCAGTGTTATAATATTGCAGCAGCGTACGGTGCATTTTTTATCATGTGCAATTGTAACAATTGCTGCAAAGCTAGTTAAACAAAATAATTGTTCTTCTTACCTCAAGTCTATAAGAGGTAGGAAATCGACGTCTATCAGCACTCTCAGACTCGGCAAGCTATACGTAACTACGTGCCCGTTCGAAATGTAGCATACGAGGCATACGTTATCTGAGGAACGAAACAAAATTTCATCGTGAATTCAATTTAATGTAAAATCTGAAGGAGAAGTTCTGGAAATAATTTTACAATAGATGGAACACTCGTGTCAGATTTATTGTTTGATTAAACACATACCGTTTATAGACGTAATCTCTGCTTTAATGACGATGTGAGTCTCGGCCAACTGTTGCCTGTAGAGACAGTTTTGCGATGGTAATGCCACGACCCTCGCTTGCTTCTCGGATGCTAACACTACGAATTGACGATCCTCGAACCCGTCCCCCGTAGTTATTTGCGCGTTCATCGATGGAGACATCCGGTTGTTCGTAGATTTACCTGAACTCCCTTTAAAAATACAATATCAACGTATATACAAAAAAATAAGATTTTTTTTAGATCTTGTATGATCAGGAACAACGTACTATTTCGTTCTTTGCTGTCCGTACTATCGTCTTTCCAGGACTCGTACGAGTATGGCATCAGAGCACCGTTACAATCTAAGAAGGACATTGACAGAATACACCCCTTCAACCTAAATGTAGATCCATCTACGGAAAACAAATAAAACAATCATATTTCATATATACCGATGCACATGAAACATGATATCTGATTAAGTCTAATTATACGTACTGCACGTGGAAACGACGACTGGATGAGCGTGTCGTTCTGTACGAGAAGGTGTATTAAATATCACCGTTTGTATAGACCCTACAGACGTACCGATCCAAAGGGTTGGTACAGGACTGGTATCTGAGTAATGGAACATAGAACGTTAATAAAATATATTAATGAATCTATAATTTTATTCAGACTGATATTTTTCATCGACTCGATGATAGCAGTCTGGCTGAAAGAATTGCGAATCATTTACACGCGACACGTACCACTCTTTTTCGTGTAGGAATCTGCGAACGTAAGGCAGCTGATGGTTTCTGTGATGATGTTCTCGAGCGAGGACATGCTCGAGCTCCTTGATCGTTGAAACGAACTGTCGTACTTGTCTACCCGACCAGCAGTCCCGAGAATAAATGAAACGTTAAATACCGTATGCGCCACGTTCGACTACGAACTATTCTTCGTTTGGCGGGCATGCAACATCTATCACAATTCAACATAGTATCTCTGACAGCTGAGCGTTCTCTGATCTTATGACAGATTAACGAAAATCGCTAATGTAGTGGCAGAGTCAGTGGTCACAACATGAAAAGAGAGAAGTTGATCGCCAGACAACGTTTCCGGACAATGACACACTAACGACAAGAACAACAGTAATCACAGCAACAAGAACAATAATAATAATAACAGCGACAGCAACAACAACAACAACTATCATGTCTATATAGTATTCTTTCTCGATAGGACAGTTTCACAAGAGTATAACACCTTTCATTCGTTTTCAACATCCAGATCGGGGCAACGTGTCTTGTTCTGGCTCGCGTGGGCTCGCCGCGGCAAGAGAGAGAAAAAAAAAAAAAGAAAAGTAAACGCCTTGCAAATTGTAATTAAAGATCCGTCCTTAAGCGAGTGCATCACGCGTACTTCGACCTTATGCGCAAACTGTGAGAATTTAAATTCGTGTGTCAACGATGTAACACCCAAGCTTTAGTCACGGTATGTAATGTAATGTTGATCAACGTCATATATGTATATGTATAATTGTTTCTAAAATCGTCGATAGTTGATTTGCATTTTAAGATATTGCATGATGCAGGACGTTCCTTAATGTATAACGAATATTACAAACACCGATTCAGTATTTAACATAGAACGAAAAAATTCTTTATAATTAATACTGCAAAATTTATTATTTTCCAAGAGTTATCATTTAGAGTTATCATTTTAATTAATATTTTCCAGCAGATCGTCCTGCATATTGTAATACAAACACATCTCATTAAAAATCATGTATAAGTTCCAAATAATAAAAACTATTCGAAACGGAATTAAAATGCAAAAATTATATGCACATCATTATGGAAAGAAAGTAATATATTTTATTAATACCTAACGCGAGTCTAATGCAATTCATAGAAAAGAACGCAAGTTTAAAACAAATCTTTGCCTCTGCATAATATCGTAACATGTATTATTGCGTATTATAGTTAATAATAATTGAGATGCTGATCGTGAGTTGCATCGACAATTATTGTTTGTATAAGATCATGTATCGTAGAACACGGTTTAAAAAAAAGACACAGTTCACACTCTCAAAAAGGCGCCTGGAAGCTCGAACACAAATCATGATCTGTGTCGAAAAATGATAGAAAGACAACATATGAAGTTGATGTGTAACATAGACAGTTCACGCTCTATAGAAGAAGGAAAGAAATTCTTATAGCAAGAGTATGATTGTATGCAATTCGCACTAAAAACAAAGGCATTCTGCGACATCCCTCAATTCTACGCTTTGGATGTGTGTATGCGCTCGGTACACATACACGCGTTTGTGCACAAGATTTTACCCTTCGCGAGTCATCGTTCGTCATGTTCTACAAACTCGGTGTTAAAATCGATAGAAATCATTTTCATTAATTCGACGCACAAAAGATGACGCAGTTCGTTTATAGAACGATGTAAAAAAAAAAATCCTGTGCACTCGGGGGTCTGACGAGGTGTACACTGAGTGAGCGGAAGAGTCAATCAACGTGTTGTCGTCAGGCCACACATCTATTAGAGAAAAATAAGCCAACTGAAAATTCGAGGCAGATAGAGATAGAGATTCGGAAACAACGCGGAAGACTTTCGTCGGTGGTGCATAGAGTGACACATAACTAGATATCACGCAAATGTTCGGATGATGTGCCATTTTCTGTGTTCAATTCGTGGACAGAGAGGAAAGTGGTTTTTGCCAAAAGGCGAGCGAACAGACTTTCTTTTAGAAATAAAATGGATGCGGCGAATATAGATAGAGATTCTCGCTGCCGAGATCGTAAGTGTATTCTTTTTCTGTTTACACTCAAGTCAGCAGAGACCAGACAGTACTTAGCGTTTGTGACACAGCGAGAGAAAGGCGCGACGACGAAGACCAGACTTAAGAACCTAAAGTCATAAATTCTTTCTATTTTATTAGATCTTTCAATCGTCAAGATTTAATTCGGTTAATAGAGCACAGCGTGCTCATGCGAATTTGAACAGGACATCGCGTGGATAATTACAAGGTAGTGATAAAAATTGCTGGTCTCCATCAATCGCGTAGGAGCATTCGTAGAAGAATCGCTCTATTAACAACGAAAGGTAAAAACGATAAGGAAACGAGGTTTAAAAAAGCTTGATAGAAGAATAAGATTAGATTCGTCTCATTCAGTAACATAGAAAACAATCGATAAGATCTACGTAATGTAAATGATTTAATAATACTAGGCGATCGCACGTAATTGTTTTACTTATGATAATTCGTTGATATGATACTACCGAGGCTGTTATACTGTCTGGTGTTGGAGAGAATGTTCTGGTAGTTGGAAGGAGCTTGCGGGGCGGTCGACGTGTAGCTTCGAGACTCGGTGCTACGATGACTAGAGAATAACGAAGTCATTGGAAAGTTGTTCAACGCCGGGGATTCCAGCTCGTAATAGTTAGTAGCGGTGCTCAGGCACTTCTGGAGCTTTCTTATACCCTGAGCACGAGACTGACGTGATGTCTCGACCGTAAGGGACTTGCGAGAAGCCGCGTTCGTGCCGGCGACATCGTCGTCGGCGCTATTCACGTTATTGCGAACGACCGAGCGAGGGCCGAGGCTAGGTCCTCCGGTACACTCGCTATTGCAACCACCGTCGCCAGTATTGCCGCAGGAGCTACAGCTATTATTATCCGCGCTGTCACCCTTCTCACCGCAACCACTACCACCAACGACCATCGTACCTCTTCGCGCAATCGGCAACATGCACATCTCGTTCATCTACAAATCAGCGATAGATCAAACGTGACGACGGTAATACGATAGAGACGGGGTGCTCCGCTGAGCGGCGTCAAAGTTATAGTGCACCGCTTTTTATCCTTGAGACACTGCTCATTAGATCTACCTTCGTTTCCTACTTCGATTACCTGTTAATTCAAACCGCGGCTTGCCGATTTCAATCACCTTCGTAATATCCTGTCAAGCTCAAACTGTCTGAGCGATTTTGTCTATAAACATGATCCTCGTTTAATTTCAGGTTCAGAGACTTAGTAGGATTCCATCTGTACGAATCTATCGAGTAATTCAGTAATTCTCCTGCTTTATAAACTCGATAAACGATACGTGAATTTCTATTTCTAAATAGTTGATCATACGTGTTGAGAAATATTAAAATGAGAATTAGCAAGTCATAAAGAATATCTTAATTAGAAAACCAAGTGAAAGCATTGTGCGGGTATTTCTATTGATATAAGTTAGGAAAGACAGATAATGGTGTTTGACGTTATACAAAAAATTGCCATTTTGCGACAATGAGTAAAAATATTTCTGCGATTATCTCTTGAAATTAATCGTAGCTAAATCATAACACGTATCTATAGACAAAATTACTCAGGATTTGTGACAGTTGGAAAATCGTAGAAATGATTATTTCGTAAATAATTAATTCTATTGTGCACTTATAATTTAACAAGGGCACCTACTCAAGAAAGTTATGAAATATACATTGCAAGTAGATACTGTACAATATGTATATCGGTTTCCGTTTCTATTCCTCATTCTTTATTCAATAAAAATGCGACGAATTATCGAAATTTCTGTTATCGCAAAATGCATTTAGCACATCTTGAAAATTTAGACGTGTAAAGTAAAAACGATTTGAGATATTTGTGGAAAAGTAATGAACGTGTAACAATGAAGATTGAAAAATTATTTCTCAGATTTTCAAATTTATCTGTAAAACATTTGATTTATGAAAGAAATTGAATGATCGATAACTCCTGATTAAATGAAATAATTTTAATTCTAAATGGTGCGAAAATTATTTGACGAATTTTCAAACAGAAATTAAAAATGATTTCGCCCATTTCAGATATGTCAATCTACAATTTTGATTGAGAATAATCTTAACCCTTCAATGCTCATAGATAAAGTTTTACATTTGACGATATGTTTCAAATGAGAAACAAATAATTCGTAAATAAAATATTTTTGCATAATCATAATATTTTGTTATCTCTTGCACAAATCTGGCATTCAAGGGTTAATGGTGAATCTCTACTAATAGGTAATTACTAAAGAAAAAAAGATCGATCAATCAGCTGAGAAACATGGCAGGAGATATTCGTTTTACTTGCATCGTGGCTTGTTAACTCTTGCTATGTGGAATACCAGCACATATTATGCAGAGTCCTTTATAGCAGTCAGTCAATATTGACGAAAAAAAGAAATTAAGTAAAAAAGCAGTGAAATTCTATGCTATGTAATATATCTCTCCTTCCCTCCCCCCCTCTCTCTTTTTTACACACGCGTATTCTCTCACTCTCTCTCTCTCTCTCTCCCTCTCTCTGTACCGTAAACGATGATATATTGAAAATAAGAATAGATTAGCCTTATGATATATGTATATACGTATAAAAATGATTTCACGTCCTGTTGTCATTGATGATGTCGTAACAATACATGTTGTTATTATTATTATTATCATTATCATTACTATTGCTATTGCGTGCAAATTATCAAATAAAATATCGAGAAGCCTTGAAAAGCGAAATATCGTACCGAGAGAAAGGTGTAAACGTGACGGATTCTTATGATGTACAACACGTTACACGTATTCAGAATAAAGACAGCCAATTTGTATACGTATGTATAATATATACACATACATGGAAATGAGACAGTTATAAATGTTCAATTATAATTGTATGTGTATAGCAGATTGGTCAAAAAGATTACTGAATCTGGAAATTCTATTTATTAAACTGGTTTAATTAAGTTCAATCTGTAAGAAATTTGCTATATCGTCTCCATTCATTGAGAGGTACTTGAAAAATTGTAATTTCAAATCTTCTTCGTAGAAAGTTAAAATGTTTTAGAACTGAACGTTTTTGAGTGTCTTTAAACAAAAATGTCATATAAGATAAGAACACTTTTTGACCAATCTAATACAATTAACTGCGCTCGATTAATTATGATATTTTAACAGTAGTAATCGTATGAGACAATTAAGAGAACGAAAGCGAGTCGCGTGATCGATATTACTTAAATAAATAAAAGAAAAACGAATATAATCATCCGTATAATATAAATTCACGCAGCAAGCATATTTTTCTCTCGGTGATGAGACAACTGTCAAAATGTGAAAAACCTTTTTTTACCTGAATCAACCTTGCTGTCGGGGAAGACCGCAAAACTGATTTGAACCTGAAAAAGCGTTAAAGTAGAATCTCTTCTCACTTAGTCAATAAATTCGTTGCGCTCAATGATAGAATTTTTTGGGTCTTTGGAAAAATAATATCGAAGAGTGAGTTGAAACTTCAAATACGTAAGGTCGATCGTTGCTTGCTGTACTACGGTCGGAGGAGAACTGTTTGGCGTGTTAATAAAATCGGGAGGGTTCGTCAACATCGTTTCAACAACGGGATGAGAATGATGTGTCTATCGTACAAGAGTCGAGATCCACACAGATGGAGTATCAATGATAGGTATGCGAGTATGTAGGTATTACAGTTTACGCAAACTACGCATTCCAAATGGACACCCATGGGTGTACCTAGTGTCATGGATTAATACGGATATATCATTGTTACAAAACAAACAGTTCTAGTAACGAACAAGGCGTACGGGGATACAAGCTTTGAATGTGCATCGATGAAACGTCGCAATATAACAGGACATACCGTTGTTTTTTAATATATATGTATAAA